TCATTTGGGATAATAAACCAGAAAAGATAAAAAGGGATACATTGAAGAAAAAATATGAAAATGGGGGAATAAAAATGATTGATTTGAGAAAATATATGTTATCAATAAAAGCGAGCTGGGTAAAAAAATATAAATGATGACTCGACATCTTTAATAAAATCTATATACTTATCTCAATTAGACAGATACGGAGGCAAGTTACTTTTTAAATGTGAAATAAATGACAAATTTATACAAAGCAAATTTAAAAGTTATCCATTTTTAAGAGATATAATTTCATCCTGGAACCAAATAAAAGTCATACCAAAATGTAACAACCTAAATAAACAAATAATTTGGAATAATATGAAAATAACATCAAATGAAAAATCATTCTTCTATAAGTCTTGGTATGAAAAGGGTATTGTGTATTTGGAACATCTGTTTGACTTTAGAATTAATCAATTTTACACTTTTGAAAATTTTAAAACAATTTATCAAATCCCTGATGCAGATTACCTCAAATATCAGACTTTAATAAGAAATATACATCCTGACGTCATTACAGGTATCAATCTAGACAACGTCAATATCAATACCCCAAATAGATCTATTTTAGCGTCATTTATTAAAACAAATGAAACCAATAAATTTCTTTATGAACATCAGTTAAAACGAGATAACATTATGAAAAATACTGCAGAAAAAAAGTGGGAAAATATATTTGAAAACGAAAATATATGTTGGGAAAAAAACATACAAAAACATTCTATCAACAACGATTGACACTAAGTTTAGAAATTTTCAATATAAATATCTACACAGAATAATTGCTACAAACAAAAGTCTTCTACAACAAAACATTTCTTCCTCGCGTCTTTGTGATTTTTGTGCAATGGATATTGAATCTATTGAACACCTCGTTTGGAAGTGTTCTTACACACAACTTTTTTGGAGGGATTTTATAGAATATTTTTTTAAAAAAAAGGAATATTATTATAGAAATTAATATACACAAATAGATGCAAAAAACTGTATTCTTTTGGTAGCAAAATATTACATATATAGTTGCAAAATTGAAAAACGCACACCACAATTTAACTTATTTTTACATTATTTTCGGAGCCGACTATGTATTGAAAAATGTATTGCATTTAATCGAGATAAACTGGAAACTCATTTTCAAAAATGGAATAGAATTTTCCCAGATACGAATATAATAACATATGAAAATACCTTACTTACATGAAATAAAACAATTCAAATTTAAAAGCAGTCAAATACTGTAGATGTATCTTCTTCTTTTTTTTCTTGTTCTTTTGTATTTAATTTTTCACCCCCTTTACTTTCCCTTTTTCTTTTTGTTTAAATAATAGGTTACACTAATACGAGTATCGTATTGCCGATGGTACCCGAAATGTAAAGTGGTATTTGCTTCTAATGTATAATTTGTTTTACTGTCAATAGAGGAAAGATTGATGCAAAGTATTTTGTAGTTTTTATTGTTCTTATGCAACGTACATGTAACATATTCCACCAGTGCACGAATATATTGGACAACCCTCGTCACATGCGCCGGCATTACGGACGGACGTCTGCCTGACCGGTTGTCATCGTCTACCGACTCTCGCCCTTCTACAGAGCGTTTGTGCCATTTAAAAACCAGCCTTCGTGACACTGAACTTGTCCCGCTTGCCCTTTTAAGTTCTTTGTAGGTATCTGTTGGTGTTTTACCAATATTTGCACAAAATTTAATGATCGTCCGTATTTCCAGACGTTTAGCGACTGACATTTTCACGTAATTACAGTATTGACGACCACACACAAATGTTTGTTTACGACCGTTACAATAGGGCAAATGACGTCATATTTTCTAGTGACGTTAGGAATACGTACACACACTTTTCCCTGAATTTTAACGTTTATATGTAGTGTTTAAAGAATACCGTGATGCATCAAAGTAATGAACTAACCGAATTTTTTTGTCGTGCGCCGGTATTACGTTACCAAGGTAACTGTATGACGATTCGTTTTCACGACATGCCAGTTACACGTTTTTTTCTTTTGTTTTCTTATTTGAGACAGATCTCCCCTTCAAGTGATATATAATTCATGTTTTTCTATCAATAACTCTCACGACAATAACTGCAGTGCACGAATTTTTTGGACAACCCTCGTATGTGTGCTGTTTTGTGTGTGCTGTTTTGTGTGTGCGTTATGTTCGAAATATGTATAGTTATAAATCCTGTTGGTATCTATGAATTGGAAATGTGGGTGTATGGGTGCGGATGTGTGTGCGTGCGTGTGTTTGGGTGTGAAAAAAAAACAACTCTTTGTGACCATGCTTTTGTATTATCTGGACAGAAGTTATTATATGTTATATACACTGTATTACTGTATGATCACTGAGAAAAAAATAAATTATAAAAAAAAAATGACTTAGAAAATGTTCTGAAATTTTAACATGTACTTGAATATTTCTAAAAGTAGAACAGAGATAATCATTTGAAACTTAAAATATATAAGAAGTGTCAAAAGTAAGATATGCAGGTCAAGTTTCATTACTAAAAAAAGTGGTTGGGGTAACTTTGTATTGTATTTTGACAGAGTTAAGTCCATTTTTTATCTTTAAATTTATTTACTATAATATTCCTCAAACCAGAACAGATATTTACTTGAAACTTAAAATTTATATGAATGGTTTTAAGCAAGCTCAGATGATGAAAATTCTACAATTCCATTTAATTTTGACACAAGTTATGCCCCCTTTAGGCTTAGAAAATGTTCTGGTATAACCATTAATAATTAAATATTTCTGAAACTATAACAGATATTCACTTGAAACTATATTATATATAAAGGGTCACAAGTAAGCTCAGTATACAAAATTTTTCCACTCTTAATATAATTACATTTTGAGATAATTATCCTATTTTTGTAACTTCACTGCTTTTGTTTGTTTTAGTACTTTGGGAAAATGAAAGGTTATTGTAACTGTTTAGAACATGATTTGACAATATATATTTATACTATTACTTGTACAATTTGTCTTTTTTTCACCAGAGATAATTTCTTTTTATGTATATGTATTTGTGTATTTGTACCACTAAAGTTATTCCCTTAACCACCTTTCCAAATCGTCATCTGTCAAGGACATTGGTGGGTGTATGAATCGCATTCAGCGATAGCTCTAGTTTTACTTGCTATATGCTATTTTCATATGGCTTTGATATTTTAGTGGTTTCCCTGTTTAGTTAAAAATTGATAAGCCAACTCCATGTTCCGCCTTTTATGCCCTCTCCTTTTTTGTTTGGTGCCCTGATAGGTGCCTTTGCGGTGGTCAAGTGCAACCGAACTTTGTCGGGCCTGCCCTCCGGAAAGGCCACTCTGTCTTGTCGATGTTTGGTCTTATCATTTTCCTGATTCAGAACCATGATGCACGTTTTTGCGTGTTCTCAGTTCATTTTTGACAAATATTATGGAAAATATATCAATTGTATTGTAGTTTGGGGACCTTTCTGTTGAAAATGTGTCAGAGTTAAATCGTATACATAAACATGCACAGTGCGTTAACTGGAGTGCAGGTATTAGTTACCCGCACGTCAGAAAATGCCCATTGATTGGCTCATTTTTGCTGGGGTGTACTTATTGTGACAGCAAAGAGAGGGAAAGCGACAGAAATATCATATTCAGATGCCTATTCATTGGTTACTTTTTCTGGGGATTCATATTGTGACAAAGGGAACGTTTTTTTATGTTTGACTATGATACAAAAGAGGAAGAACATTAAAACACTCGGGAATCTGATCAATACTCGGGGGGCTACGCCCCCCTACTACAAATCAGAGCCTCGTGTTTCGATGCTCTTTCTATTACATATTTTACTGCAAAGTTATCACAAGCTTCAAATTTGTCGCAACTGTCTTCAGAAGATAAGTATTTAAAACTTATCTAAAACCATTATGAAAACGTTTGAAACTCATATTTGCCATTTCTTAAATATGAAAAAAATATTAATTTCAAAGGCATAATCATCGTCGGATACCCACGGCCGAACCATTAACATTTATCAGCCTTGGGATTTTTTGCCGATATTCAGTCGATTAGAGGTGTGTCAAAGGCAGCTATTTCATTAGCTGCCTCACGATTTCATGAGGTGATTACAACCAATCAAAACGCTCGTTCTGTACGACGTTCGGTATTACAGACACTATTGCGACAACCACATCGTCGGATACCCACGATTGATAGACATGTTACATAACATGCAATTAACCGTGGGTAAAATGAATCGATTTGCGTCGTTATACAGCAACAGGTGCGTAAAATATCTACCAATGACATCGCGTTTAACAAATCTATATTCTTTAACAGCGGAGGTATAAAACAATAAGAAACAAAATGGCAGCGCCCACGTTAAAAATTGTTGTACGTGCCTTGCTAAAATCAATGGCAAAAACTATCATAAACCATAGACGACGTGAAAAGTTCAACATCGAAAAATTAAACGATTTCCAGCAAGAAAGTATAGATAATTTACTTTTACAGCGTGATGTTTTCCTATCTGATTGATAGAACTGATTTGGCGATAGTTTTTGCCATTGATTTTAGCAAGGCACGTACAACAATTTTTAACCGTGGGCGCTGCCATTTTGTTTCTTATTGTTTTATACCTCCGCTGTTAAAGAATATAGATTTGTTAAACGCGATGTCATTGGTAGATATTTTACGCACCTGTTGCTGTATATCGACGCAAATCGATTCATTTTATCCACAGTTAATTGCATGTTATGTAACATGTCTATCAATCGTGGGTATCCGACGATGAGGCATAATGTGCCTTTAACAAACTCAATGAAAATGAGTAGTAAATTTTCACTCATTGCATTTGGATAGCGCTGTCTGAGATGTTTATGTTAGCATTGTTTAGGACATGAATAAAGCAGCGAATATACCTGAAATTTAATCACAACTCTCAATTAATATGAGATGAGAAATAACAACAAGCTAGGGTACTTGCTTGTTAGTTTATTTGTTGTTTAAATAGTCAATTACACATAATTATCATCGTAGCTATATATACAAGTAGACACGATTGTGATCATTTAAGCTATACATAGCAAGAACGAACATATTGAGTATACATGTATGTACTAATTTCATTCAGTGAAGAGACATATAATTATAACACTTGTAACATTGTATCATTTTGGGAGGGACAATATAGATGTCCAAAGTTCCAAACGTAATGTACTTACAGATGATTAAAGTTTTCGTTGCTAACTTAATATCTAGTTTTATGTGTTTTGATTGTTTTCTTTTGCAAGATTTCACGATTTCGAATATCATTTTTGTCTTCCAACTTTAATAGTTGAAAAGAAATTAAATGGCGTGGGTGCCTCAAAAAAAGATGGAAAACAAATTTGCCCACGATAAAGTACATAAACATTAAACAATAAGCGCTCTCTCTATACCTTATTCAAAACAGTAAAACGGACGATTCACTCTCAAGTCTACTATTTTTAGAAACGAACGTAACTGACGCGTGAGACTCTGTTTTAAAGAAGAGTTAACAGTTATATTATGCACTTCTAGAAAATGAAAATAGTGAAATTATTTGAAACAACTCATATAAGTGTTTTCCCGAAAGAAAATATAAATTGAAGGCCGCTTTAACGTATGCGAAAATAATCTTAAACTTTGTGTTAAAACTTATCTGCTTTAAATCGTTTGTGAGTAATAAGTAGTTAAATGAAACTGAAATAGAATGTGTTTATGAAGTTAATAATAATATATATGACACAAAATTACACAGCCATATAATTGCAGTTAGTCGCTATTTATAAAGTTAAAGATTACAAAACATGTCGAAAATTCTACAACTTGTAGATTTCATTTGTCACTTTAAGACACTTGTTAATTATATGGGTCCATAATTAAAAAAAAAGAAACATATCTTATTACCTCAATTCCTTTTTCAAAGATGCAAAAGTATTTCTTTAAAACATCTCTGCCAGGGTGACTTAAATTTGGGTAAAAGTGCCAATAAGGGGTATGGAATAAAAAAAGAATGATAAAATTTAATAGAAAAATAAATGTCGTATACTATCTAGAGAAATATAAAGTAATAATAAGCTGATTTCTAATTGATGCTCATTGGGTCTGTAATCCTTAAACATTACTGATAGAAGAAAATTTATTGCCTTTGGTAAGGCAGAAGCGAACTGCATTGGGCACTTTACTGATGGTGAACAAAGTAACAAAAAGGAAGGCTAGTCCAGTGAGAAGTACCGCTTCATGACGGTGCCCTTGTCTTATAAAATGTATTTCAAAAATTAAAGATGACACTTGTAAAGAAAGAAAAGATGAGAAGCGAATCCACCTGATATAATTGTGCCGTTTAGTGCAACGATCGCACCGTTCAGGAAAACAGCCTTTGCACGCTTTATGATTTTTGCAACAAGAAGAACTCCTAAGAATACAGTACAAAAAAAATGAAATGCTCACAATTACAAACAATGTTATTGCAATGATCTCCGCAAGTCTAGGAGCGATATCAATGATCGGTATTATTATGAACTTTGCGAAATATCTAACTAGCCATGCGAGAATGAAACCACAGGACAGGGAAGATAATCCACATTTTCGCAAACACGACTCAACTTGTTTACTATTCTTGTTACCAATAGTGCTTTGATAGCATAGGTGCTCACAATTGTAGTTACAAATATTGTACTTGACCACTTCTTCTTTGTTCATTTCTTCTGTAGCAATTTTAATTGTTTCATCTGGGGCAATTCGTGCCTTACCTGGGTATTTAACCACCTTCAAAGAGTTCGTTTCTCCAACACGTATGCTTGTTTTCTGTATTTTGAATTTCTGTTTGGAGAAGGAACGACTAACATTGCCATCTCGGCGAGTAAAATGAATTAGATCCAGTTTTTCAGTTTCCCTATCTACATTTTCTACAATTGCATGATGTCTATATGGAGAATACCAACTCGGTCGATAACAGATGTGGTCGCCCTTCTTAATGTCATCAATACTCGTAACAGTTACCTTAAGGGTACAACCAGGACAACACTTTGGTCCGTCTGTTGAACTGTCTATTACCAAGCCTGTATTTGAATTAAATGTTGCTGAGTGAAATCAAACAGAATATATCTAAGAATTTAACATAAAATCCAACTGAGAAAAAGACAAAATAAAATTCGGACAATCTTTATTATTCAATGTTTATAAAGTAATGGTTTATCTGTTGTCTTACGTGAATGTTGGCGTGTCTTATTTGGTTGAAGAAAAAACATACATACTTAAAAATGAATAATAAGAACAAGTGTATTATAATACACGTTCATCAGTGCGGTATTCAAATGAAAATGCCAATGTGTGAAATAATTGTCGTTGCCACTGTCAATAATGATGCGTCACAAGTAACTTGAAATTGAAATGCATCATCCATATCAGACAACTTATCTATTTTGAATGCATAAAACACGCACATTTGCATATTATTGTAAGATATTGGCCAGTTTCTAGCCATGCCAACACTGGAAAGGTTTCATTCATTATTAAAGTGGAAAAAAAGGGAATGCCTAGAGACCAATGAAATCCTAGTAAACAAGAGCCGGTTGAACCGGGTGATGCTCCCCGAATCGGTTTTGGACACAGAAAAGAATACATCTTGTAGTTTCAAAGTTATGTCCTGGGCTTCTACTAAATGATATCTATCTACATGTACATACAAAGTTTCATGTTGATATCTTTCATAAATGTAGTATTAAAATTATGTTAAGGACAGAGTTCAAAGTGTAAAAAAGAAGAAACAGCAATAACTCCAAAATAAGGCAAGGCAGAATTATGATTATTTTGCACTGCACATCTACCCATTGCGATCTATCTATCTACAAAGTATGTTGTTCGTATCTCTTATATTTTCAGAGCTATGACAATATTCAAAGTGTAAGCATGAACAAACTAAGGTAGGCAGATTTATGTTTTTTTTCTGAACTGCACATCTATTTAATGAAATTTATCTTCCTACACAATAAATTGTTTTGTTGAAACCTGTTATGGTTCAGAGTTTTGTCCCCGCTCACAATTCAAAGTGAAAAAAAATCAGTGTAAAATTGCAAAAGGGCAATAACTCTAAAAAAAGGCTAGACAGAGTTACGATTCTTTTGCACTGCATATTTACGCATTGAGATATATCTCCCTACAAAGTTTCATGTTGATGTCTCTAACAGTTCAGAGTTATGTTGCGGACACATTTCGAAGTGAAAAAATCAACTTCAAAATTAGGCAAGGCAGAATTATGATTATTTTGCACTGCACATCTACCCAATAAAATCTATCTATCTATAAAGTGTTTTGTCCCTATCTCTTATACATTTTAGAGCCATGACAATGTTCAAAGTGTAAGCATGACCGAAGGCAATAACTACAAAATAGTACTCCAAAACAAAGGTAGGCAGATTTATGTTTTTTGGTGATTTTTTTGCTGCACTGCACTTCTATTTAATGAAATCTATCTTCAAACAAAATTAATTGTTGGTACCTCTTATGGTTTCATAGTTATGTCCCCGCACACAATTCAAAGTGAAAAAAATAGCAAAAGGCATAACTCAAAAATTAGGCTATGCAGAGTTACGATTATTTTGTACTGCACATCTACCCAATGATATCTATCTACCTACAAAGTTTCATATTGATATATCTTATCAATGTAGTATTAAAGTTATGTTATAGGCAAAGTTCAAAGTGTTAAAATGAACAAAGGACAATAACTAAAAAATAAGCCAAGGCAGGGTTACGCTTCTTTTGCACTGAACTTTTAGTTAATAAGATCTATCTACCTACAAAGGTTCTAGTTGATACCTCTGGGACTTAACTAATGTATAACTACAGTATCTTAAGTCCTTAAGGTATGAAAGGAAACCATTTCTTTTTAATTTGACATGAAAAACAATGCATAAAATATTACTATATAAGTCCCTTTGTTACTATTTTTATATTAATATTCTAATCTAATTCAGCAAGCCTACCAAAGTTCGTGATAAACAATGTCTTCCGTCCATTCATCTATGAAAAAGTATGATATACAATTCTGGTATAAGAAGACATCTGGTCATCAGATGTCTACTAGTTCATCATCACTTTTCATTTCTTGCTTGGACGCCCTCCGATGAGATCTATCTACCCTAAAAAAGTTCATGTTGATACCTCCTGAAGTTTCAGAGTCTGTTCCAGACGAGAAAGAGGGACGGACGGACGGACAAACGGGCGAAAATATACCCATCCTTCGCATATTGAAACTTTAAAAAAGTGAATAGTGCAATATGTCTTGCACCACAAGCAACGGCTTAATCATAATTCAATCTTCAACACAAATGATCCGAAATATCGGAAAATATGAAAAACATTGATGGAGCACGGTGATATGTTTAACAGCTGTCACATGTACAGCATCTGACACTTGTTGTTGTGGCTAAATTGACTATAACAGAAAATAGATGTTACTCAGTACCTATCTCGTTGTGACCTTCGCCTGTTTCTTGACAACTATCAATGGGTATAGACATTTTGTTGTTTCTGTAAGTAAAGAAATAAACTAATGCATTTTGTTACAGTTAGTAGATGAATGATATCTTAACATGTTCTGTCTGAAATCATATTCAAAATGATTTGAATAGTCTATAATTTATCACATGATGAATAATGTTTGCTATCGTTAAATAGTTTTATTTTGCAAGTTTGTCATTTGAAAGCTGTCTTCTAAGCCACTGATCAGTTGGGACGTCCTAGGGCGAGAAGTCAAGAGACTCTAGACCCTTGATGAGAAGAACTATCCAGCTAGCTTGCGTATGGTCAGTGGTTAGGTCAGGTGCCCGCTTGTGCCAGAAATAAACCATAAAGGGGCACTTGAGGTTATAACGTATTTAAACCAGGTCAACTTACATTTCCCTTTTGTGCGTGCTAATTTAAGCCACTGCAGAGCCTGTACAGTTCACTGTTCTCATTTATTCAACCACCCTGAAGCAGATCAGTAAGAAAGTTATTAAAGTTTAAAGTATTTGATGTGATTACACGGGCATTGGGAAAATCCATTTTGCCGATGATAAACAGTACGTGCGTACTCTTGAGGATGAGTTAATGGGGCAGCCAATTTATAGAACATTGACTTAAACAGCAGTACATTTCCTTCAATTTGCATGGCCTCAAAGGGTCATTATTTATAACAGTTCTTAAAGATTACGTTATCATAGACATAATTTTGTAGCATATTGGGTCATACGCTATTATCATTTAAGTGCATCAAGTTAAAATCCTGTCTATGTCTCATGGTATGGTCTGGTTCATGTTCTATATTTAAAAGTAATGTCACATTTTATCTGATCATTCATTCTGTTTTAAAAGAACTTAATATTTAAAGAAACAAATAGCCATCAAAAACAAATTATATAGTCGCATGTATTTATAAGAATATCATTATATATTTAGAATAAATATAATGCATGTTCATAACGGTATAAACATTTAACATATACATTTAATACTCCCATCAATCAATCAATCAATCAATCAATCAATCAATCAGTTAGTTATAAATATTTTATCATGTAATCGTATGCAATAGTATGCAATTCAGCTCTGCTAATATGTAGTTTATATATTTAAAGTTATTATAATCAAATAAAATATTTGTTTTGATCTGTTTAGTACATACTGCAACGCTATGTACATATAGTCACAACTTCATTCCGAAGACATGGGATGCAAACAATGAATATATGAATATTTAACACATTATGTAACCAGCATGTTTTTTTTTTAAATCAGAAACTTAAGCCAATTGTGTAATACACATTGCTTAAATGAATGAGCTTATTCTACACTTTCAAAATAACATACGAACTGACTTACCTGGTGAGGGTGGCGTTGAAATATTCATGATTCGGTAACCATTTTTTGTCAGTTTTGCAACCATTTGGAACGCTAAAACCAAGTGTGCAACCACTTCACATCCTGCCCCTGAGAAAGTGACAATGCATTGAAACAGCAGATCATATATCTAAGATATCTGTCAATGACGTATGGTTCTATAGTTGGACTTGACTTTGATCAACGTTATCTAAGAGTTTTAAAACGTCATCGAAAGATAGCAATTATTGCAAATTACAACATTCACATATCTTATATGCCATTAATATAACTTAAAGGTATTTTACCTATGTTCTATGTTAAATGAAATTAAAGAAAAGCAAGATCACTTCTTTATATTTGAGCGAGGATAATTTTAACCCCATAACTTTTATTTGAGTGATTTTGATACCGGATTTATAGTCACCATTAAAATATCAAAACATTGGGCTGTATGTATGTTATTTAAAAAATGTCAACAGTGTTACACCTTTATAAGACAGAAAGTTGAGATTCATCTGGAAAATTAAGACATTGAAAGTGGTTAATTCGCTTTCTTTCAAAAAATTTATTTCAAAATACATGTATGTCTTTGTTGAAATAAATAACAACCATTTCATTTAATAACAATTGATTGTAAAAAAAGTTGAAATGTCGTGGTATACAAGGGCACGTTGACTTGCAACAACAAAAAATTACTATATTTCACAAACGGTTCCAGCTCATACTGTAGAAAACCCAAACAATAATAAATACGTCATAATTAATGTAGAAAACCCCAACAATATAAATACGTTTATGTATTGAAAGAAGAAGAATACAACTTGCAGAATTAAATCAGTCGTGCATATTGTGCATAAAGGGGTGAAATAGCACGGACATTAATATCACAGTTTTAGCTCACCTGAGCACAAAATTTTCAAGCTGTTTTTTATAACAATTTGCCCGGCGCTCATAGTGCGTCCGTGCGTCTGTCGTCAAATTTTTATACAAACAACTTCTTCTCAGAAACTAATTGGCCAAATTTGAAGAAATTTTCCTCGGATGTTCCTAGCATGAAATAGAGAAAGGCAGAATCCCTAAAGAAAGTCCAACACAACAAAATTGAAAATGTTGCAGGCTTGGTTTGATTGAGCCTGTTCATGGACGGTACTGGAAAGTGCAAGTTACCGTTCACGTCCATAGCACCGGCTTAAGCAGAATTCAACATTTAAAACGAAAATGGTGAAATTTTGAATTTAGAAACATCCGCAGGTGTGTTCATACGGCTCTATCTAAATTGTTCAAATTATTCAATTTGTTCTGCTCAATTAATATCTGGGTCAGGAGGGCTAAAAATAGAATTTTGAAATAAAATCATTAAAAATCTTCTTCTCTGAAAGTGCAAGATCTATAGCTAAGATATTTTGTGTGTAACATCAGCTAATGAAACTTTACAAAAAAATGTTCAAATTATAGACCTGTGATCAAATTGGCCTCGCCAGAGGGTGTCTGTCATTTTCCTTACATGTATATACTATAAAATTAAAAATCCTCTCGGTCTAGACTTTATAGATTTGTTTGTATGTAGCATCACCTAATGAAACTCTTCAAAAATTGTTCAAATTATAGCCCTGGGGTCTAATTGGCTCGCCCCAGTGGTCATTGAATTTTCTCATATGTATATATTAAAAACTTAAAAAATCATCTTCTCTATTTTAATAAAGGCTACATGTTTGATATCAGGCATGAAACATTGTGTAGTAGACCACTACCAGTATTGTTCAAATTATAGCCCTTTGGTCAAAATTGGCCCCGCCCCTCGGATCATTAATTTTATTAATTTTCAATATGTACATATAGTATTAACATAAAACTCTTCTCCTTTGAAAGTGCAAGGTCAAGAGCTGGTATCTAGGAAAATTAAAAAAAAAATCTTCTTCCATGATAATAGTGTCTAAACCTAAAATATTTGGCATGTAGCATAACACCACAATAACTTGTAACAAAAAAATTAAACATATTCTATTTGGGTAAATAACTTTCAGCTCCAGATTTTGGACATTATATCATCATAGTATTCATCTTTCTGCAGGGTCAGTTGAAGGTCAGTATAAAGAATTCTCATGGAATACAAAGTTAGGCCTAAAGATAGATTACATTTTTTTCTTGTACCTTACTTACAAAGATGAGTTTGTATGATCATTTTTTCTTGTTTTGAATTTTGTTGCAATTTGTCATATTTTTTATATTTAGAACCTGATACATGTATCTGTTTCATGTGTGTAATAATCTAATTTTGAGCTGTTATTGGTATTTCTTAACCATTTGACCTTCTTTCTTGTGTTTTGATGTACAGACATGAAATTTTGAACAGAAATATAATGTCTTATGCCGAATTCAATATTGACATCAACTGACCTACTTTTGATATTAATGATATCGTTTGACCTAGTTTCTCGTTGTTTCGATATACACACTTGAAATTTTGACAAGGGGTGTAATTTCTGTTCCTGATTTAAATTTTTATATTAATTGGCCTACTTTTGATATCTTTGATATCGCTTGACCTACTTTTTTGTTTTTATGTAACGAGTTGAAATTTGGACCTGGGGTGTTATTTTGATGCTGAATTGAATTTTGATGTCAGCCGACCTACTTTTGATATTATTGACACCATTTGACCTACTTTCTTGTTTATTTTTACATGCATATTTTTAATTTGGACCAGGGGTGTAACTTCTGGTGATTTCTTAGTCATGTTTGAATATGGATCACCTGGTTCAAATACTAGGTCACGCAACCTAAATATTGGAAAATCTTGTTTACACTATAGGAGCAACTATTACAATCCAAATATCCGGAAAAACGGTCAGAAAGTTTGTTATGATGATTTCCAAATCAAGTTCGAATATGGGTTACTTGTGTTCAGACACTAGGTCACACAACCCTTGGGAAAACCTTATTTATACCCTCAAAAGCTACTGTTGTGATCCTAATAATTATCATGAAAATCGGTAAGAAAAGTTGTTAAGGTGATTTCTTGGTCAAGTTTGAATACGGGCCATCTGTGTTCAAAAACTAGGTCACACAACACAAATAAAATGGGATTGAGCCTTCATAATCAGGTGAGCGATATAAGGACCATCATGGCCCTCTTGTTTAACCTACCGGGATCAAGGCAATTATCTACGTAAGGAACATTCTTTGAAATAAGAAATCCATTGGAAAAATCCATCTTGCCGACAGTGATGAAAAAACACAAATGTTCGTTAGGGGTTGGAAGTGGGAGGGGAGTCAATAATTTACGCCTTTCAGGGATAGTGGCCAAAACAGCAATGTTTTTACACCTCAAATGGTCATTGTTTAGCACTTAAAAATTATGTTATCAAGGAAATACATTCGAGACACTCTGTGACACACTCTTTATCACTACATTGAGAGAAAGTTTAAATTCCATATGTGTGTTATAATATGTATTTATTATACCTATACATAACAGTATGTACATGTAACGGAAAACTTTTACGAATAGAAATAGTAATCAAATATTGAATAAAGCAACAAATAAAGCAATCAAGCAAACAATCAATCAATCAATCGAGCAAGGAATAAAATTATCAGTTATAATGACAATACTTATCCTCAAGATTGTGATCGTTTGTTATATAATACTTCAACTAAAGTCTAAAAAATATTATCATTTTATCTGACCTCAGAACATCAACGTTTTACCTTGATTTTAGCAAAAAGGACCGAGAGCCCGTCTTATCAACCATCGTGCAATTTTGGGATTTTCGATCAACGATTGTCGTACGCTCGATCGTAAGACCATCTTATAAACGCGATCGTTCGTTCAACCTTAAATCGTAGGATTTTCATAGACGTACTCTTTCGCTTGTGCACTAGCACGTACTCTCCCGATAAGGAGAAAAGGCGCAGTTTAATGTCAATCTCGCTGCAATGCAATTGAGCGATGTCTGACAAGTCTGGACTGCTGATGAGCGGGATATGCTTTTCAGCAAGTGTGAGAATGCTGATGGGGCCACCGCCAAGTTTTCGCGATCGCTCACAAACCGTTTTTGGAGCGGATATTGGCAAATGTAACCAGCAATGTTTATTAATAGACATAAAATAAATCCGACAAATTGCCACATTCTATATGGTGTCCAATTTTATAAAATATGCCTGCTAAGATAAAAATAAAATTAACACTGGCCCCTGTGAAATTGTTGGAGTAATGAGTCATGGCCACGCATTTGTATATTTAATACTTCTGATGCTCTGTGGCCTGCATTCTAACCTTCCTTATCTGTTAAATCAACTATACTAGCTTGTAGTACGAGACCTAAGAAGACTTTATATATGTACATCATATGTGATTGGCACGCCCAGAATATAACAAGTCAACGGTATATTTTTACATACGACTAGAACATGTACAGTGCATGTCATCACATCTTCTATTATGAGGAAGCGATTTTTATTGCTTTAGTAGATTCAATAAAAGGTAATTGTTATTCAGTCATTATACTTATCTTAAAGACACATATGCACCAGAAACGCTATACATTTTTTTCTCTAATAACATTTTTTTTGTATCTTGTTACACTTCCCAAAAGTACTTATGATGGCAATTGGTATAATGATATTGAATCAGTATTTTGCACAGGACCTTGAATTTCTATCAATAACAGCAGTAAAGTCCGATTAATTTTTTTCCCATCCCTATACAAAATCTATATAGGGATAGCATTTTTATTGACAGAATTTCAAGGTCCTGTGTTTTTTTATTGAAGTCAAAATAATAATTTGTTTACACTTTTGTACCTTAACGACACATTAAATCCAGTGCTACTTAAATATTTTCAATTATTAAACATCTAGCAGGTTCCTAAAATCATTATAATTATTAAACACATGATTGTTTGACATTTCTAAAGAATTAAAAAAAATGTGCATAATTTAGTTATCAAATTCCTTTCTTATTTTGAGTTTTATGTTTTTACAATAATAATTGCAAACTTGACACTTTTTTCATGTTTCCCTAATCTTTAAGTTTGATTGGTTTGAGTGTGAACATTGTAAGCGGGTGTACAAGGATGCTCTTGAACAAGTCAAAAAGAAATGGGTTGACTAGAAGGTTTGTATTTTACTATCATATATGTTCAATGTATTTAACTATAATGTAC